CACACAAAAAATAATATATCACTGGGAACAGAGCTCTCAAACTGAGACAGTCCTGGCCAAACTATGACTTGTAAGCCTACTTATAGTCTACTCAGACACAGTTTCTCATCCTTTTTTGTTTTTACTTTTCTTTCCTTTTCTTTCCTTGAATATATTCTGCTTAAAAAATAATTTTGAGAAACAATTTTTTTCAAAAGTTATGAAATGTATTTTTAAAACATTCAACTGGTGATACATGGATGTTTGTTCTTTCTTCTTACTCATACATTAGTGACACTAACTTTCATAATAGCTAATTTAATTCCAATAATTTTAAAGAACTTTGAAAAGCATACAGAAGTAGATAAAACTTTTTAATTATTAAGAGACTTCTATTTGCATCACATGAAAATAAAAACATGAAAATAAAACCTGTTATAACAAAAGTGGATAGTAGCAAAAGAAAGGAACAAACAAGGGCTCAAATTTCAACAGTGTGTATTGATCAAACTTCAAAATATTCACATAGTTATGTGACAAAAATTGTTGATATGTAGTTTAGTTGCTGTTGATAAGGCAAGCGATTGTGTATAATGATGTCAGTAAGGCTGGGAGTTGACTGATTTGTTGGGTTGGTTGGCCAAGGACACCTCTGGTGTCAGGAGATATGTCTGCAGCACATTAGTGAAGCCAAGTGTAATGTCACTGGGGGTGGGGGTTGACATATGCCTTACTTTAAGGTTGAAATTGACACTTGTGAACTGTTTGATGGGCTGGCATTCATGCAATGAGGCTTAGATATTGAAGACCAACTGCCTGGTAAGGTGCATTGTCAGGGGTTGATGTAGTGGCAATGAGAGAGCACTATTGTGCAGAATGTCTCTGTTGGTTTCTTGTTGAAATCAAATGAAGATGGGATCATGATGGTGAAGGCAAAAGAGTGGGATGGATAGTGAAGATGTTGAAGTGTTAGAAATCACTGTGATGACATCAGGAGCCCACCAATGTTGGAATTGTCCTGTCAGTTGCATTCTGCATATGAAGAGTTGGGTGAGGTCACTGTGGTTATGGCAGTGATCATGGTAGTGAAAGTGTCAATAGGTGGCCTCTTGCACCAGGTCTCTGTATTCGTCCCTTCAAAAAGTATGGATGGTCCTTCACCACTATAATCAAATCTCATGTGCCGGTGTCGGGCTGTCGGTTTCCTGGAAACTGATCTACTTGACCCTCATATGTCGAATCTCGACAGGAGAGTCGATTATATATATATATATATATATATACATATAGGAATAAGCATAATTTATATGGCATTTTAATGTATATTTTAAAAGCTAAACCGGCTTCCTCCCAACCTTATCAAGTTTATTTCTGGAATATAAAAAATATAAATGTGTAAATTTAATTGATATTAATGGTAACCAATGAATGGGGAGGAATATGAATTTCAAGAAAGCTAGAGTCTAATAACATTCAGATCAAGTAAGCATTCCCTCTGTTTACAGAGGAAAGGCCCACAAGATCTGATATACAAGGACTCTAGAACCTTGAGGTGATATGAGGAGTGGGACCTCGATAAAATAGAAAAACGGTCTACCCTGAAATCAAAGACACAATTCCTACTATTTATAACGTGCTCTGCAATAGAAGAGCCAGAAGTATTAATTAGTTGACTTTTCCTGGCATCCAGATTCAAAATTCTGGGGAGCAGGGGGATAAGTGTTGCTTTATTCTCAGATCCAAATGTTGAGACATCCTCCCTATGTAGTTGAGTCCACAACTACTCTTATATTTATAAATCACTGAATTAACATTAATTTTTTTATATCCCAGAAATAAACTTGATAAGGCTGGAATGAAAATGGTTGTTTTTTTTTTTAGCTTTTAAAATATATATTAAAATACCAAATCCTGCTTACTCCTAGCTATCCTTAAGTTTTGTACTGTAAAAAACTTGTGTGTGTGTGTGCGTGTGTATTTATACTAAGTATATAAGCCTACCACAAAATACCAATAATAATAAGCTTGTATGATTTTTTCCTGAAGTATTTCTCATATAAAGTTGTTATAGTGTTCATTTTAATAGAAAGTACTACCTATTTTTCCAAATCTCAATACTCAAGAAAGCTATTAAAAAGGCATCTGTATAAATACATCTATAACATCTGTGTTCAATACAGATTAATTTTCATCTATAACCCAACATAAATATTACCACTTAAAAAAAGAATGGCACACATTCATTCTACACAATTAAAAGCAAATTTCCACATAAGAGCTACAATTTATTTTACCATTTCAATATATATCTCACATGGCAGAATTCTATTTTATTTGAACAGCTCTCACTTCATTTATCAATAAGGATTAATGAAAAAGAACAAGACAAATAACAGAAATATTGGCAGATCATTTGTGTTAGATTGGTGATGCTTTCAATCAAACTTTGACCTACAGGTTGGTTTATATTTGGTGTAAAAACTATTATAGTTCTTTTTATTCTATTTGTTGTAATAAAATATTAACTGTAAAAAAAGCTACAAATGCAATTGACTAGATTATTTTGTTGAACTAGTTAACCAAGCACATATATATACAGACACTCTGCAAAAGTCTGTCTGAAGATATGATTTGTTCTTTAAATTATTTAAAAAGGTGTATTTCCTTCTTTTCTTTATTTTCTGTTTCAGGCTTACAGAGAGGCAATAAAATTTGACTGAATATTGCTCACATCTAACTGAATTGTTGATACCTGCTCAATGAGTTATTGCCACTGCTACTACATCTATAAATAGAATCAACTTTAAGATTTAAAAAAATTATTTTCAAGGAAAGATTTTTGCTATATTATACAGAAAAGTTAAATGTTGAACTCATTTAACTAAGTCAATGAAATAAGGATTCTACTGTTTTGGATAACACACTATAAAGGACTTTCAAATACACTCAATTTTTTCTTGGCTATATAAGTTTATGACTTACAAAATATAAATGATTTCATATTAGTAATGATGCTTGGAAATTTCAAAATGAGTTATCTATACACAATTTAAGACATGAGTTAATTTTCATGTATTTTATTTCATTCATAATTTTATTTAAAAATGATTTAAATGAAAATGTAAGCTTTGAAAAGAGGATGTTTTGATAAAAGTTTTTTTTTTCAGTTTGAAAAGATTCAAAATCATTTCTAATAAGGAAGCTGAATTTTGGATACAGTTTTTAACTAAATTTTAGTTGCAATTAATAGATATTTGTTATATAAATTCATAGTTGCATCTGATGCTGTGAAAATATCTGTTAAATGCATACAGATGAAATGCATTGCCCTTGGTACAATTAAAACCCAGAGAATATTTCCCCTTGTTAACACAAAGTGAAATTAATTTATTAACAGAAATAAAAGAAAAGTTTAAGTGTTTGTATATTTCACAGCCTTGTGTCAAGGAGTAATCATCTCTGTTTTTTTAGTTATGTCCAATAAAATATACAAAGATATTAGAATATTAAGATATAAGAAAATTTAATACAGAAAAAGTATAATCATTGATGTAAAATATAAAAAAAATAAACAAAATACTTTTATATTTTTAATAAATTAATATAACCCTTTCATAAAATTGAAACCACAAAATTTACTATAACTATCTTCCCAAAATTTTATAAGTTGTCTAAAAAAACTTATAAAATTTCATAAGAGATGGGTATAATTTCATGATTCATTTTGGATGTTTTGATTGTCACGCTAAAATTTAAACAATCTTCTTTTCTATTTCATTTATATAGTCTATGGGGCTACAAATATTTGCTGTTATTGCAGCTGTGCTTTCTATGAAGTAACTATGAGGTTTTCTAAACTCCAAAATTTCTACACATCTGACATATACCTAATTATTATTACTTAAAATTTCCTTATATTTTCAGGAGGATTTGGATAATTTTTGATACTAGGAAATACACTTTTTTGACTGATCAGTTCTCCAGTCAACATCAGGTGATGAATGATGGGTTATTTTAAGATGTTCTTAGATACAGCATTTGAAAAGACTAGGAAATCAATTTTAGATTTAAATGGCACACACAGAGAGTAAATGACAGTTAAGACCAGGAGTAAAATGCCACAGATATTCTTTTTAGACTGTGTAAGAAACACAGATTAAGAGCTTAGTTCCCTCCAACCCAACATCCAAACTGTATACTCAGAGGGGCCACAATTTCACCAATTGGATTGGCAGATAAATAATTTCTCTACTCTTTCATTCTCTGGTTCTCTGGCACCTTTACTGCACACCTGCATAATTGAGAACGAGAATATATCATAAGGTGACCAGACTTGTTGATACACAAGAGAATTTGTTTGTGCATTCCTTCCTTTATTGAGAATCATGATTGCTCTCTTTTCACACTGTTAAAAAACATTTATACTGTCAGTCTGATCCACAACTTTCAAATTAAAGAATTCTCTGGCCACTGAACCTTTATAGAAGTTGTCTACATTATTTGTTGCCAAACAAAAATATATTAATAGGTTGCTTAATTTGTCAATGCTCATGATAAGGTATTAGCTGATTACAGAGGTATTGTAGATTTTATATAATGAAATATTTAAATGATCAGCCTTTTAAATAGATACTTGTAAGTAGTAAACAAACAGGGACATATTGTTTTAGTCATTTTTACCCGATGGGCTACTTGTTGACAGAGGATAAAAAAAATGAAGACAAATATATGGCAATTAACAAGAAATATCAGCCAATCATTTGTTTCTAACTATTTTTGTCCAGTCTTTTAACAGCAAACTATTTTTGTGTTGTCTGGAGAAAACAAGTTTCTTTATTCTAAAGGAGATACTTGGGAAAAGAGAACTAAATATTGATACTGTTGGAACTGGTATCACCCATTGGGTTTTAAAGAAGAACTGGAATAAAGAGAATGGTACTGCCAGCAGATATATGTCCAACAAAGTGAATAATTAACAATTAGTGTTTTCTGAGTAAGAGTTGTTAGGAAAGAATAAAAGTTCAGAAAATAAAGAAAAATATACACAGAAAAAAGATATGAAGATTCAAAAAGAAAAGGAGTGAATGAAAAGAGAAAGAAATATGAGAGAAAGAAAGGCAAAAGTTAACAGATAATGAATGAATGGCAATATGAGGGAAATAAAACAAATAATACAAAAAGAATAAACAAATAAAAAACAAAAGTGATAATCTGAGAAAGTAATTTAAGGAAATTATAGAGAAAAAAGAATAAATGATCTTGAATAAAAGAAATGCAAAAAAAAAAAAATAAAAAATGAATTAAATAAAACAATGAAGAGAATTTTTCATGAAAAAAGAAAAGCTTTGAAGAGAAAGCAATTTTTTAAATGTAAATAAACATTAAAGACAGAAAGTGGTAAATCATAAAATAAAAAAGAAAACAAAGTGAATTAAAAAATGTAACAAAATGTAAAAATTGACAAGAATATTTTAAATACAAAAGCAAAAGAATGGCAAGAAGGAAAATAAATGTACTCAACAGAAAAAAGAAGTAGTATAATTTATATGAAATCGGTTACTGTAATAAAGAAAAAATATATAAAAAGTTAGTTTAAGATTTTGATGTCTGTGATAGGCTATTGATAGATATTTTGAAATGCTAGAAAAATCTTTTAAACAAATAAAATTCTACAAAACCACGAAAAAGGAAAGAACAAAGATTTTCCTGAAAATTTGTCAATTTAAATTTTTTTAATGATTTGGAAGAGATGGAAACTTATAAGCAAAATTAGAAGTAAGTAAAATTCAAACTGAAATAAATATTAAATAAATTATAAGAATATAAATTCTTCAAAATTAAATAAATTTCTCAAATTGAGTGCACAATGGAGATAAGATTATTACAAAAAGTAGAAAACAAACTCTTGACTTGTTATTTTGCAGGCAAGTCACTTTGTGAGTAACTGTAATTTAAAAAAAATAGTAATCATTATCAGAATACTTTCATTAATGAGGATTTAAAAATAATCATTATCTTATTTAAAATCTTGTATTATTTAATACAAGATTTTAAAGTAATATTTGATAAAGTTGTAATGTCTGATAAGAATGCAAGACTAAATTTTAATACATAAAAATTACTGTTTATTTACTTCTGGACTCCATCAAATTAACTTTAACCATGGAGAGTCTGTGGTTTCAGGGACTTTGAATGTTTCATTTTCTTTTCACAAGGATGTCAGGGACTCTCTCTTCTTCTTTGCATCTTGAGCAATTATATAACTTTCTGTCATGCAGTTGTCCTGTATGTGTATATCCTAAGTTCAACTGGGTCAACTTCCTATTTTATGCCAGTACAGCCATGGACCTCTTTTGATGCCTGATTTAGCACTTTCAATTCCTCTAAGATCCTCTAAGACAAAAGGTTCCTGATTGGTATTAAATTTGATTCAAACTGCTAGTATTTCCTGATTTGAATCATATATAGTCAATTACTTGTAATTTATGTAATATATAATTACAAGTTATTTTCTTTTTTTTTTAACTCATTTCTCAAACTCTTTATTTCCTGCTGTGAAAGTGGTTACATTAATACAAGTACATAGTTTTTCTTTTTAGCAAATACCAATATAGTCTCAGACCAAAAGTGTTTAATTTCTTTCATTCCATTTTCTCCTGAAGAATTCCTTATTTTTTGAATTATTAAAAAAGATATCCAAATTATTTTTATTCTATTTCTTTTGATTTCTGAATATATACTCATTTCTTTCTGGGTCCCAACCAGAGACCTAAGGTCAGAAATGGCATCATGACATTTTCCACTAGAGCATTTTTTGAAAAAAAATAACCTAAGATCACACACATTTTACATAGAAAAGCCTTCATAAGGTGTGAGCTGTACTTGTAAGTACAAATGTTTTGTATTTCTTTAAGGCTAAGGCTACCAGGGATCCCATCAATGAGTCTACTGGAACCTTTTCCAATCAAACCGAAGGCTCCAACTACAACTGGAATTGTTGGTGTCCTCACATGCCATATTTTTGAGATTTCAATTTCAAGGTCATTGTACTTTAATAGTTTTTGATGATTTTCAAATATACCTTACATTCTGCAAGGACTTTCCATGTCAATAAGAAGGCATATTCTGTTTTTGTGCTCTCTGATCATGATGTCTGGGCAATAAGCTTTGATTGTTCTATCTGCATGTATTGCAAATTCCCATAAAATTGTTACAGGTCCTATGTCTGTAAGCAGGTCTGGGTGGTGTTCATACCAATTTCTTGCAGTTTCCTTTCTGTAAAAGTTGCATATTTTCCAATGTAGATATTGTTTCACTCTGTCATGCCAGATTTTATATTCAGTGGGTTCCAATACTGTGCAACCTGATAACAGGATGCTCAATTATTTCTGGATATTTATAAGAGAATCTGCACTTTGGGCTAACACAATTTTTCAGTATTTGTGCTTGGTGATTTCTATTTTGCAAGAACTGGTCCTGTGCAGCAAGAATAAACCTTTGGTTTCAGCTTTTAACCCTTCACTATGTAACCACTGATGGGTGTGGGGTTTGTCTACATCAGCTTGTTTGGAATATTGTCCATGAAGAGGCTTATTTTGTCATCAGTTCTGCATTTGGGACATTGCATTTGCTTTTTCTTTCTTTTCTAGGTTATTTGTCACTACAGTAGGTGAATTATGGTATATTTGCACTTCTTCACTACTTGAAATTCCCTATTGAATTTGTTGGCTTCCTTTATTACTGAATAAAGTTTCTTATTTCTTTTTTCTTACAAATATAATTGTTGAAATGTAATTAAGCAATCAATAAAGGAATATTTGAACACAAACAAAAAATACTCTCAATTATATTAATAAAAGTGTACACACATATTGATAACAAATTTTACAGGTCCTTAATATTTAAATGTAGTTACATGTTTTAAACTCAATCTGTTTGTAATCCATCAAAATTGATGTATTTATCTTTTCAATTTTGTTTAATGACTATTTCCATAAAACTACTATTCACTTTAATTTCTGTTTAAATATCAAAATGAAAAACACAATATCCAATATATTTGCATAAGGAAAATTACCAAAGCTGGCTGAAAGTTGTAAAATTAATACGCCTATTGGCATATAACATGTCCATAACTAAATGAGCTCATTAGATGCTAAGAAACAATGCCTTGTGGGATTTTCATGAGCAAAGTATTCAATACATATAGTGTATCAAAGAAAAATGTTGTGAATCTACAGTGACTAAAATTTCTCTATTTGATTTTAAGCTTAATTTCCTGAGGTTATAAGTGGAATCCTGTTCAGAAGTACAAATTCACATAGTGCATTTATAATTACAGTCACTCATTTACTCTATCAGTTCATATCAACATTTGAACATTCATTGAAATGTTTTTAAATTTGCCAGTATAATTCCATGAGAACAGATGATTCAAAGCTTGTTTACAGCTGTACCATGTGGGGTCAGTTTACCTGGATTTTAGGTGGAAAAATAAAATCCAAGTGTTGTGTCCACAAATACAACACAATTTTTTATGCAATATGAAGAAATGATCTTCAGAGAAAAGGAAGAAGACCAAGCTAAATATGACATTTGTACAATCAGGTACATGTATTTGCATATTAAAAATCAATGTTCTTTGTTGTGGCCATGAAGGGAACAATAGTTTGAGTTTTCAAAATGATTTGTTGCAAGTGAGTCTGCAAAGTTTTGAAGTGTTTTTTGCAAGTGAGGAAATCAAGTGGTAAGGTATGCCAATATGTGTGAAGCACATGCTAATGAAATGTGTTGTGTGACTGGTTACTGATTGTATACAATAGCAGTAATTTTAAAACACAGTGAACAAAGAGAGGAAAGACAAAACTTACTTTGATCGTGGCATTGTATGTAGAAAAATCATTGCTGACATATGCATTGTCAGGATACATATGTCTATGTTGTTGATTGAGGCCTGGTCTGGTTCACTGACTGTTTTTCACTGTTTTCCACCAACTGTTTTTGTCTGTTGTTCCTGAGACGTTTTTATCTCTTTGGGTTGGCTCCAAGTCACTCTCTGAGTTTTGCACAGGAATATACTCAGTAACCGAAGCCTTGACATTTTTTATGGTTTTTTGGAGTTTAACCACACAGACATAGTAGAAAGCATATCATGTTACTTATCATATCCAATCAGGTTCTAGAGACCACTTATTTAATTTAGAGCCAAGTTTATGCAGAATTGTAAAAAAGGTTTGTATCTACTGAATTTAGTACGATTTATTTATAGGTGTCTCTGATTTGCTTGTGTTTCACTTATTGGCTGTATAATATAAGAGTTTATATCCTATATATAATGACCTTAGCTTTCCTCTTAACTGCACAGTTTGATGTTGCCATCATTCTGTAAAGGCTTTAAATTCCAATAAATATTTATTTTACATATCAGTAAAGCATGACACAGTGTATAATCTCTCTATGTATGATTCTAAATGGGTTTCATTGATGTATTTGTTGGATTTCTTATTCAGAGTTAATAGCAATTCATTATTGACATTTAATCATGAAGTAACTGATATGAAATATTAAAAAAATTAAATTTATCATATGATAAAACCATGTGATTTAATGCAATCATCCCATTGCAATAAGAAAGAATACTAACATTAAGTATCATTAAAATATATTAGCAGTTGTGCTAGTACTTATTACTATATTTTGTGTTTGTAAGAAAACTGTGCAGTTTAGGATAAATTTAGTTAAACTTCACCTCATTTACCAATGCCAAGAAATTATAAGTATTTTAATGGCATGAAGTCTGCACATCAATAAAAGCAATGTTATTGAAAAAATTTTAGACATTCAAGTAAATAATCAGTGCTAAATGTAGAGAATTACTTTCTTAAATAAAATTACTTAGTTTAGTTGTGTAGCTTTCAAAGTTTAAAATGGAAAACTATGAAAAATCCTCTCTGAAAGTCTTCAACATACAGCCTTATCCTGTCATCTTAATGTCAATTGAATTATTGAGTCTGAGAATGGAATAAATAAATGTAGTAAATTAAAATTCCCACTTGTTTATAGAGAGTGAAGTGTAAACTGAAAATATTCAACTTTTTGGAGATTATTAAAATTATTACCTTCAGAAAGAAAAAGAATATCATTTTTATGAAGTTCTACTCATTCATATCCAATAAAACATTTAAATACAAAAAAGTTGCTTCATATAATAA